CATTTTGTGTGACGTAAACAAAATTTTCTTTTTCCTATTTTAAGACAATGTCTTGTTAGGGTCTTTATATGTGTGTTTCTTAGTAGTTGCTTAGAAGTAGATTTTTCTCTGGCGTGGTTTTGTAAATTTATGTTTTTTAGGTTTTTGAGGCTCATATATTTATTTCTCCATATAGCCAGGCTGTGGGGGGAAAAGTACTCTCTAATCCAGGAATTTATGTAATGTGGATTAGGTTATAAAGGGCAACCTCAGGAGCAATCCCCCAGTTTATTGAACAACAAATGTTTGGTTATCGTTTATTTCTGAACGTTTATAGGTGCAAAATACGTATTTTTTGAGTTTTTTTTAGCCTAAAGTAAGTGTAATTTCTGTATAGATTATGAAAGTACTCTAAAAGACCTTCAATTTGAGCCGGTATACATTCAATTGAATTTATTTTGTTATTGCAAAAATGACGAATGAAGGTCAAAATTAAAAAACGTGATATTTATTGCATAATTGCTTTTTTATTTATTTCAAATGTATGATACTCAAGCCTATAAAATTATGAATCGAATGAGCCGTAGTAAGCCTAGATCACTTAATTTGTTGCTGAGATACGTGAGTTAGTTTATCCAACGACCTTCAACATTGAATGCTCATAGGATTGCCAAAAAATTGTAGAGGGTTAATTCTTGTTTCATTCTCTTCCTAAAGCCGTTAATTTATATTCATAATCCACTGGAAAATAATGAAAATAATTTTTTAACCCGTTAAAAATAATTATTTATGAAGTTGTAAAATTGCAATTATAAACATTTAGAGCTGAAGCGTCCCCTATGTACCCTACAAATTTCTAATTTGCAGATTATTGTAGTGGGCTTCGAGACGAAGATTAAAAAAAGAGTTTTCTACGACCAATAGGAGCCGAGTTAGTATGATTTTTTTTAATCACAGAGGCTTTATTAATAACAATTAAGAAACTAATATGGCGTCATTTACTACTTAAATACCTATATTTTCAAGTATTTGTATTCTCCTTAAATTAAAGTGAAAATAATATAGCACAGAAACCGCATGTGGCAAACATTGCGGATGCCGTAAACACAGCTAAAATGTACAAGAATGTGCTAAAATTGTAATAGAAAGTTGCGAAAATTGTCATACTGCTGAATATGCACTAGATCACGCAGAAATAGAATGTGAAAGTGCGATGTATGTTTTGAATGAATTGTTATATGATTCTGACATAATTGTAAAAGCTACTAAAAAAGAAATATAAATGAAAATTAAGCATATTTCTGATTTTATAAATATTGAATCCCATTTTAAAACCATATAAATAAATTACAATTATTTTACTGTTTATATCTTTGTTTTACTAATTTATTCCTTCTATCAACGTAACTTTTTTTTTGAGTTTTTTTTTTTTGGAAAGTAGATTGTTTTTAAATAGAAATTTTAATCGTTTAAACTTTACTTTAACATAATTTTTCACTGATAAAAGATTACACAGCGAGGCAGAGTAAGTATTTAAAAAAAAATGATAAATACTGAAATAATAGTAGTCTATATTCTAGAAAATTAAATTTTTTTAGAAATGAAGATGTTTGATGGGGATGTTCTCAATGATAATATGATGTATGTTTAATATTAGTGTAAAAGTAAAAGAATTGAAAAAAAAAATTAATATTAAAAAAATATGGGGGTTGGGGGTAGTTTTTTAAGGGTGAAAGTATTTCAGATATTATTATTTCAACAAGCTACCCCAGATTTAAAAAAAAATTATCGAAATTGGTTCATTTTTCACCGAGATATTGCAAATTTTTCCGATTCAGTTTTTTTCTCGTTGCACCATCCCCACCACTACTTCTGTGCCATCGCTTGAAAAAATGTAAATTTTATTCATCATTTTTAACAATAAATAATGATTTTAATGTAAGGAGTATACAAATACTTGAAAATATAGGAAAATCTCCTGTCCGATTATTCTTCATTAATTGTTTGTTTTTCAATCATTGGTGTTGCTTCCGGGATATCCTCTTGCTCAGATTCCGTGTCTTGATCGCTAAACTCTTCTCTATCATAATCGGCAATAGAACTATCGGAATCATTTTCTACTCCTTCATATAGAGTAGGCCTGACAGACCACCGTCGTCGAACGCAGTGTTAAGGACAATAAGATAATTAAAAATAATTTTTTTAACCGTTATTTTTAAAAGGGTCGTACTTAGTTGAAACGGCTTGAACTAGTCACTAATCACGAGTGTATGCAAACTGTGAACAGCAATATCTTGAAACGAAAAAACCAAAATGTTCAGAAAAGTAAAACCTATATTTTTTTACTCTTCAAGATTTTTCATATCACTAATAATTTTTAAGTTATTTTGAAAAAAAGGCTGAAAAAAAGAATTTTTTCAAAATTTCTAATTTTTTTTTTATAATCGCTTTGGTTAAACTTACAGGTCATATAAACAATACCTAAGAAAAGTAAATTGAAAAGCGGCAACGATTAATTTTATCTCGGGTGCTAATTAGGTGATTTTCACGACATTTTTACCAAAAATGGGACAAACCAACATTTTGAGCGTAACTCGGCTTTAAAAAACAACAAAAATAAAGCATTTTTAAACACTTTTAAAAAGTTTTTATGAATTTTCTCCGAAAAGTACTTTATTTTTTACCCCCGAAAAGCACTTTTGTTGTTTGGAAATTATGTCGCCATTCAAAAGCGCATTACAATAACGTTGATTTATGAGATGCACTTGTCCCATCCCATGAACCATGAACCATCCCATCCCATACCGAGCCTGAGCGCCGGGCGTCCCTTAACATCGTGACGTGATACCAACGCTAATCCACTGGTTACGAATACATCAATATTTCAAAAGGTAGGTCTATGTTCTTTGTACAGATAACAGTATGAGTTAAAGCTAGTTAATTCTCGTAATTTATCCACAATTAAATATTTGCTACTTTTATTTGCAGTCAAAATATTGCATTTTTTTCTATTCTAAAGCATTTAACCAGCGACCCCTTAAGTTCTACACAAAACACCCGGAAAAATCCCAATACCCTAGTCGCTGTTATCGCTTGCGTTTGTAGTTCTTGTTTTAGATTTCTATTACTTGTAATATTAGCTCCTAGATATTTGAAGGACATCACTAATTTCAAAATTTAATTATACATAAATTGCTAACTTAAATCTGGGTTTTTCTTGATATTGTCATAGATTGCGGTAATTCATTTTGGTATTATTAAATGGACAAAAACGGACATAGATCGTCAGTGAAAAGTACAAACACTTCTGATAAAGGCACAAAAGCATCATCCTCGCATTGCAGTAGAAATAAGAACATTACCACCGTGCCAATGCGCCTCTGGAGGGGTAAACCTCTGCATAGGCGATATGTCAATAAATTCTGCCAAGACTATGTCGAAAATACAGTGTCGAACTATTGGCTGACATCAGGAAAAAAGTTCTCTAAAACAGAATACGCCAACCAAACATTATCTGAATTTAAAATATACCTCTGAGAGGCCCTTAGGTGCAAATAACTAGAAATATTGCTATGGATGCCAAGCTTAAGAAACCATCCATCTTACTGGGAACTGTCAAACATTTGCTGAATGGAAATAGATATTCTCAAGTTAAAGTTGATTTCATGTAATCGAATGAACTATCTTATAAGTAAAGTCGTCCAGGAGCGCAACTCAACAATATTGGCAATATCATTTTAAAGTCGTCTACTTTAAAATGCATAATGTATGTCTGAATTGTCAATATCAATGAGTCAGATAAAATTAAATTATTAGAAAAATTTTTCACTATGTAACAAAAAACAAAATTTATTTAATTTACTGTTTGTATTTTGAGAACGATTTCCGAAGTGGAAATTGAAACGTCAATAACCGTATTTTTATCTTTAATTGTGGCTTATTCCCAGTTAAATAGTAATTAAAATTTAGTTTATTATAAGATGAACACTGAACATTATTTCGAATAAAAATTATTAAGACTGATAACTATCAATATTATGGAACAAAAGGCTATTTGGCTCGTATCGTCTTCACATGTTCGAAAAATGAAAATGTGTGCGATAATATACAATCTCTTTAACAAAAACTTTCTCCTTATATCCCCTTTCAGCAATTAATTTTGACACCGCATTGTAAAAAATATCCTAATAGAGTTCTTATCACAGGCAATTATTAATTGTAAGGTTAAGCTAGTTATCTATTGTTATTTATATTTTTACCTTTTTAAATACATATGCTTATGAGATCTAATCTTTGCATGTTTTTAGTGATTTTTTACTTTCCTGTTGAGTCGTTGGATGAGAAGAGTGTGCTTTGTTTCTTCCGTTGTTTTAGATTCAATAGATTAGGCTCGTGATATTATTTGTGAATTTGATTTGCACGTAAAGACGTATATTAATATGAACTATAAAGGCGAATTTAGCCAAAATAATTGTTATGTTTGATGAAATTAATTTCATGAAACTTTCTGTAGAAATTGTAAAACTTGTTAATAAAGTATGGAACGTGTCTGCTGCTCTGTATACAATCGTTTACACAGGTTACAAGTTTTTGAAAGAACATAAATACCTCCTGTACAAAACATGAGAAAAGCACTTAGAGCTAAGCGGTGAAGAATAAATATAACTGCTTGTCAGTTGTCAATAAATAGACAAATGATGAAGACCTCTATTAGTATTCGGAAAATTCGAAAAATACATTGACCTGTTCGAACAGGAATACGAACAAATCTAGGAATATATGTTCCTAGATTTGTTTGAATAATTAGTTCAAAAACAATGTACAGGTGTTTTAGTAATACTGTCAAAATCAATAAGCAGTGAAAAACATGTATTCTCGCTTTTTTAGCTTTCCCCTTAGCTTGAGCCTTTAACAAGTTGCCACAATCAATACAACCTAGAACCGTTTTATAAACGGGTAAAGTTTTTATGATAGCATTTTAATGATAGCCCTAATTTCTCATGTTTGCCATAATTAATTACCTCCAGTACTTTTGTCATCATCCACAAACGAATTAACTCGAAGGAAACTTGGGGCGTTTACAACATTTAAATCGTCAGGGTTCGTGGGTAAATACACTCCACGGGAACACATCTCGCAATATCAGGAATCTAAATTTATAGTTTACAGTTTTGATCACGCAAATATCGCAGGTAATTTCAACAAACTAATGACACTACTTTTCGAGTCAAACATACCACAACAACTAAACGGAGAATTAACTGGCACATCTTCAAATCGTATAAAAATACTCACGAATTTTCAACTCACGAAAATTAAAATAAAATCGTATAACAACTTAATCCCACGGCAACAAAATTTTTGTAGCAGATTCGGTAGACCTTTATTAGTTTATGGAGCAATAACTAAATATTGTCATGTGATTACTTATTAGCAACTCAGTAAAGTAATTGTCAACGGATACGTGAATTTCAAGGTTGCACAATTATTAGGATATTGTGACAAATTGGAAATGCTTATTGATCAACACATAACAAAACACTTTTTTAATAAACCGATAAATTTATTGGCTGAAATAAAAACAATTATATGCAGTGGCGTAACAAAAGATAAATATTATAAACGGGACAAACACGCGTTCTGCTATTGTAGCAGTTTATAAGATCTATTTAGAGTAGAAATCCATTAAAATAAAAAAGAAACGCAATCTTTATACTCGCGATAGCAAACCTCGAAAATATTTATGTGCCAAATTGCTCTAGTGGATAAGAGTGATAAAAGTTTTTCTCAAACCCTTCTCTCTGTGAGGGGTTCACCCCCCTTCAACAAAGAATTATGTAATTTTTTTAATAATTATTATTAATAATTATCATTTTTTTATAACAAGAATACTTACTCTTTGTAATTTATTTTTTAAGTAAGGAGTAGTTTGTCATTAACGCAAAACTTACACACAGAATAATGACAATACAACGGTCCTGATAAAGTATTTTTGTAAGTATTATTAATGGATATGTAGGTATACTTCATCTAATTTACTTACCGTTGCACGTCATCCGCGTCATAGTCCGTGAGGTCACATGATACCAACACGAAATATTTAGGCGGTAGGTGTGTTCGTTTTTAGAATCACTTTGCCGAGTACACTGCCATTACAGCCACTGGACATATTTTATTATATACGCGTAGAAATAATATTTAAAGATTTCTATTAATGTTAACTTAAAAAAAAAGACAATAATATGTTTCATTTAATTTGTATAAATGTATTAACTATAAAGCGTTTTTATGAAGAACATCTGTTCGGAACACACTGTAACTCTAATCTAACGAAGGTGATGTTTTGGCATACATTGGTAACACTTATTTGATGCGGTGTTGACACTTTTTGTACTTTATTATTTTGAATTTTAAAGTGAATACCTCTTGTTTTATATTTTTAGAAATTTAATAAAATCTGTTCTTTTTAGAACAAAATTAGTGTGTTTTATTTCAAAAATGTCACGTAATAATTTAAACAGTCGTTGTAAAGAGATGGTAATACTTTTGCAATAATTATGTGACCTATTTGATTTAAAATGTAGTCAGGATTTTTTTATACTTTGGCAACTATGTCAACTTCGATATCTGTCAATGATAATGACGTGCAATTGTAAGTAAATTAGATGAAATATATATGAGGAACAGTATTTGAATAACAGTATTTGTAAGAAAAAGAATTGACTTTTAATTTAAAAAATATATAAATAGAAAGTTATAAATTATGTTTTTCACGACATTAATATTTTTCTTTAAAACTGAATTATTTTAAATCTTGATGCCAAAAAAATGGCATGTTATAACTTAAGAAATATTTATTGAAATGCAAGTTTTAAGTAAAGAAGAAAAAATCAGCATACATAAAAATAAAAGTGAAAATAGTTATAATTTGATATTTCTACTTTTTTGCGATTATTTCGAAAATATTGTCTAATTGACGTCAATATTCCAGTGACACAAGTAAGGTCCGTCCCTTCTTCTTAAAGTGCCGTCTCCCTACGGAGGTTGGCAATGATAATGGCTATTTTTGTTTTTGAACTTACTGCTCTAAACAAATCAATCGATCTGCATTGAGACCAATCACGTAGATTCTTCAACCTTGAGTTCTGCCTTCGGCCAATTGATCTTCTTCCTTGAATCTTTCCCTGTATTATGAGTCTCAAAATTTCATATTTTGGTCCCCTCATCACTAGGCCTAGGTATTCCAGTTTTCTGGATTGTATAGTGGTGATTAGTTCTGCTTCTTTACCAACCCTCTCCAGTACTTCTTTATTTGTAATTCTATCAGTCCACGGTATTTTTAATAATCTGCGGTATAACCAGAGTTCGAAAGCCTCGATTCTATTTAAATTGTTTTTTTTTTAATCTCAGCTCCATATAATAATATTGAAAATATATAACAGCGAATGGTACGTAGTTTGATCTCCAAATTTAGATTTTTGCACGTTAGGAGTCACTACATTCGTATAAATGCTGATCTGGCAATAATTATTCGCCTGTATATTTCTGCAGTATGACCATTGGTTTCATTGATTAAAGTTCCCAAGTACTGATATTTTTCTACCTATTCTATCACGTTACCATTGATTGTCAATAGGTGATGTATATTTTGTGGTCTTTTTGTAATTAGCATGTACTTCGTTTTTTTTAGCGTTTATAGTAATTCTCATAGCCGATCTACAAGAAAAGCTTAGGACCTGGAAGAACTATGTAGAAGAATTGTTCGACGATGAAAGACAAGAACCTAATATAGATAACTTGCAAGGCGACGAAGGACCAGAAATAACTAAAGAAGAACTATTATACGCTATAAAAATAATGAAAAATGGTAAATCACCGGGTCCTGACGGGCTCACATCAGAACTTCTTAAGCTTGTGGAAGGCGAATCAGTGAATATTCTACTCGACCTTTTTAACTGCATCTACAAAAGAGGAGAAATACCAAAGGAATGGCTACTTTCAACTTTTGTAACCTTACCAAAAAAGGCAAATGCAAAACAGTGCACTGACTACCTCACTATAAGCTTAATGGGGCATACATTAAAAGTATTCATCAAAGTAATCCACTCAAGAATTAACAGAAAACTAGATGCAGATATTAGTAATACTCAATTCGGATTTCGGAACGGGCTTGGAACAAGAGAAGCACTATTTGCACTTAACGTCATATGCCAAAGATGTCTAGATATAAACCAAGATATATATATATATATATATATATATATATATATATATATATATATATGTGCTTTATTAATTACAACAAAGCGTTTGATAAAGTTCGTCACGACCACTTAATGAAACTGCTAGTAGAAAAAAACTTGGATAAAAGGGACATTAGAATTATCTCTAAGATTTACTATAACCAGAAAGCAAATATCCGAATAGAGCAAGAGACAACGGAGGAAATCGAGATCAAGAAAGGCGTAAGACAGGGTTGTATACTCTCACCGACCTTATTCAATCTATACTCCGAAGACATTATAAACACAGCACTTTCGGATCAAAATATAGGTATTAAGATAAATGACATCCGAATAAACAACTTGAGATATGCCGATGACACGGTACTAATCGCAGAAACTTGGGAAGATCTTCAAATACTAATTAACAAAATAGTAGAATGCAGTGAAGAACACGGATTATCACTTAACATAAGCAAAACAAAAATAATGCTAATATCTAAATCACCACGAACGTGTAAGAAGATATTACTGGGAACTGTTATCAACGAAAATAATGACTGCTCTGAAGAAATCAGAACCAGAATAGAGAAAGCTAGAGCCACATTTACTAAATTGAAAAAGGTGTTCTGCGGAAGAGATCTAAGTCTAAAACTTAAAATTCGCCTTTTGAGATGTTACGTTATGTCAGTTCTCCTCTACGGGATGGAAACATGGACATTGAAAAAGATCGATACCAAAAAGATAGAAGCATTTGAGTTGTGGATGTATCGTAGAATATTAAAAATACCCTGGACAGAGAAAGTAACAAATGTGGAGGTTTTGCGGAGAGTGCGGAAAGAGAAAGAGCTGATACTTACTGTTAAAAAGCGCAAACTACAATATTTGGGACATGTTATGAGGGGAGATAAATACCAGTTGCTGCAATTGATTATACAGGGAAAGATAATGGGAAAGAGATCTATAGGAAGAAGAAGGCATTCATGGTTGAAAAACTTGAGAGAATGGTACAATTGCACCAATTACCAACTGTTTAGATCTGTAGCATCAAAAATACGCATAGCTTTGATGATAGCCAAACTTCGGAACGAAGACGGTACTTGAAGAAGAAGTAATTCTCATGTCAGCACTATTTATACTTAAGCTTTCGAGAAGATGTTGTAAATCTGCGATACTCGTTGCTATGATCGCAGTGTTGTCTCCATACCGTAAGTTGTTAATTAATTTTTCGTTAACGGTAACTCCCGTTTTGATATTATTGAGCGTGTTTTGGAAAATTTCTTCAGAATATAAGTTAAACAAAAGTTCTCCTGTCAGTTCTGCCAGAGAACATTATCTTCAAAATATGGGGATAGCTTAGTTAACTGGTTGGTTTTACCAAGAGATGCAAAATCAGGAAAGAGTATTTAAAATACAGTCAAAATATCTTAATTATTGATAACTATTTCTTTTAACGTAGAAATTGGATGGTCTAAACATGAAATGAACGTTGATACTCTAAAATATTATTCAACTGAAGTTGTTGGATAACCTCTAAAAGTCTCTTATTGTCTCTTAATAATTCTTGGAATTTAAAGCTTAGTACCAAAAATACCTTTAGATAATTTAGAAGCAGAAATAGAGTTATTCAAATTCAATTTCGAAATTTTTTCTTAAATTTTCCAGAGTAGAGATATTCGTAATATCTCTGGTACATTTAATAGCACTAACGAAATCGTAAGAAACACTTTGAAGAAATATCAATAATGAAAGCGTAACGCTTCAGATCTTTTCGCAAACCAAGAGGGAAATTAACAAATTGTTTTTTTTATCGCTGAACATAACGTATTAGCTGTTCCTTGTGACGTTGAATAAACCTAGTTTCGCACAAGCTACTAAGCCGTTTCTTACAATCTGCAGTGTGTAAACCTAAATTGCCTAACCTATATTTTTAGTCTTGCTAGCATGAGCATTTTTTCTGAAAAATTAATTACTCGATTAGTAATATTTTACATATTTAATATTAGTAACATAATTTAAAAAAAT